TCCGAGGCGCGGGACCCCGCGGTCACCTGGCGGCCCGGTGAGGAACACGTGTCGCGCCATGCGCAGGAGGTTTGCGGTCCTGGCCGCCACCGGGTCAAGGTTCTTGTCGCACTCGGCTCCGCCCCCTAAATGCAGGTCCCCGCCTATCACCGGAAGAACTACTCTGCGCATGCTCCTTCTCCGTGCGCTTCCGCCTTTGCCGCGCCTGCGTGTGCGCGCCTCTGCCTTGCGCGCCTCCGGCCTCGTTTAGCTAGTGTCTGAGCCGGCCTGTTTTCCAGGGTCTTCAGTTTTTGCGCAGTGTTCCCAAGGAAACACGTGCTTGTCTGCCTGGTCTCTTCAGAAATGCCTAGTGTCAGATTATAGCAGCTCTCATTTAAAGTTCTAATGGGCTTTCCTTGCATTCTAGAAATACTGTAGAATGAGCGTTCACGTTAGCTGAGCAGAGGAAGCTGGCTTTATAGACAAGTTGAGGAAAGCAGAGTAACACAAGGCATGCTGGTCTTTGCAAAGTTGCTCCCCTTACATGGTTGAAACAGAGAGGACTTGCTTATTGTGCTGACTGGGATGGACTGTAATTCTGTTTTTGTTTTTGTTTTTTTAGGAAAACCGGTCCATTTCAAACTTTGATTCATTTTGATTACCAGGCCCTTGGCACAGTGACTCCATTCTGATTGAGGGAGGGTTCCTGGACCTTAACAGGAGTCATTAGCCTTAGGCCAATCCTGAGCATCTGTGTCTTTTTGTTTTGTTTTGTTTTTTGAGACAGGGTCTCACTATGTAGTTGAGAATGACCTGGAACTCACTATGTAGCCCAGGTAGCCCAGGCTGGTCTCGAACTCACAGCGATCCTCCTGCCTCAGCCTCCCAAGGGCTGGGATTACAGGCGTGTGCCACCACGCCTGGCACATCTGTGTCTTTTAATCAGGAAGTTCCTAAAGTAGGGGTTTGAGAATCACTGGTCGAGGTCTGCTTCCAATATCCAGCCACACAGGTGAAACTGTCTCCCCTTGACTGCTTTACACCAAGAGTAAACTAACATGACAGCTGCCTTTGTAAAGAATCAAGTAGCTCCCTGCCTCACTGAACTACTTCAAGCACTCCAGCCAGCTAAATAAAGTGTCAATAGCTTTGGATCAGCTTTACCTGTACACTCTTTCTGTCTAATGCGTGCAGTTTGACTTGTGATCATTCTCCCTTCTGGCTGGGAAAGTAATTTCAGGGCACGCTCAATTTAATTGGCTTGTGCTCACACAAACTTCCTCGGCTCCCTTTGACCTAGGATATATGGTGTCAGATGGCCTCAGTCTCTTGCTGTTTAAAGTACATTGTCTAAAATAAAAAGTTTGGAGTCTGGGCATGGTGGCACAAGCCTGTAATCCCAGCACTCAGGAGGCTGAGGCAGCAGGATCGCTGTGAATTTGAGACCAGCCTGGGCTACATAGTGAGTTCTAGGTCAGTCTCAACTATACAGTGACACCCTGTCTCAAAAAACAAACAAAAAATAATAATAAATAAAATGAAAAGTGTGATATAGCCCTCACTATCATCCCTGGAACACCTATTACACTATGTACTGTAACAGTATGTTACTTACTATGCCGACAGGTACAGTGGGTTAGGGTTAGGGTTTTTCCACATCTTGCACCTGCAAATGTAGTCAGTGAACAGCTGATGTAACAAAGAAAACCCATAGGAGAATCAGAAAGAAAAGGAAGGAAAACATGTATGAAGTCGTACTGTACAGTATCTCCTGTCCAAAAAAGAATTTTAACTGTTGATTATATAAAATTTTCCATCACTGATAAGCAGTCTGAATTTGCAAGGCTCACAGAAGTTGGGTTATTTTCTTTTAATGTTGTACTATGTGGAATTCTGTCATCAACTTTCTCAACTCGAAAACATACAGAATCCAGATATACAGAATCAAAGAAAATTCTTCCATAGATGAATGCTCTTTATCCATTTAAAACAAGTTTAAGGGCCAGGAATTTAGCTCAGTGGTTCTGCAAGTGCAAAGTCCTGGGTTTGATCCCCAGGACCCCCCCCAAAAAAAAGAGCCAGCCAGATTAATAAAACAAATTTATGGGGTGATAGTTACATGGCAATGTTCACTATTTGCTAATTCATTGATTGAACACTTCATTTGTAAAATGTTCTATATATATTGTTATACGTCAATAACAATGTAGGTTAAAGAACATGTATATTAGAGACTTTTGATGACATAATTAGCAACAAAGTACCATGCTAAAATCTAGCTCTTAGTTATTAACGCATCAAAGTGCTATATGTGAGAAATAGGCTTTGTCTTTTCTATCAAAGTACAAGGTCAAACAATCCATTTTGGGTTTAAATGACCTGACCATCTACTCACTATTCATCCCCAACCCCCGTGTTAATATCCTGAGTGCCAAGAAATGGTGACTATGTACCTTTGCCCAGAACACAGCTGGTTTCCAAGATAAGGGCTAAGGACTTTGCTTTCCAAACCTCACACCCCCTCTCTCTAACTTACTCGGCTATCCCCTCCCCCTTGCCTTGTGCCCTGGAATTAGTCAATTGCAATAGATTTTAAACCTTTAGATTCAATCAATGAATTTAAAGGTCAGCTGCTTCTCCTGCCTTAGGGATAAAAGGAGCAACTCTCTTTGGTCCTATGCACCTGCTACCTCATGCTTGCACCCTTTCACATAAGTGAAATAAAATGCCACTTCAAGAGTTCTTGATGTCTAAGTGCTTTATAATATTCACCAACAATTTCAAATTTGGCCTTATTTCCAACATATGGACTGAAGGTGTGCCCCTCCATTCATGCATGACATTCCATCCCCTGATGTGAGGTGTGAGGAGGTAGGGCCTCTGGGAGATGCTTAGGACATGAATGCGAAGCCCTCACGAAGAAGATCAGTGCCCTTACAAAAAGACAGAAATAAGCTCTGCTTTATCTGCTCTCCTGCCATGATCATACAAGGAGGGGTCGGGAAAAGATCTTAACAAAGAAATTCACGATGGTGTTACCCTGTTGTTAGATTTCCTCTAGAACTGTGAGAAATACATGTCTCTGTTGAAGCTACCCAGTCTCTGGAATCCTGTCACAGTGGCCTGAGCTAAGACACAAGGTAAAATTGCCTCAAGGACAAGTAAATAGGCCTTTCTTTCTATAGCACTTGTATGGTCTCCCTTGGATAGGATGCAGCACAGTTCTTCACCGAAGCAGTCCATAAGTCCCTCTGAAGTCTGCAGACATAGAATCTCAAAAAGTCCAACAAACACTGTATTGGTTTCATATCTCCCTTGGCCCAGGATAGCCCTAGTTTGTTTATTTAATTTATTTTGGGTTTTGAGACAGGATCTCACAAGGTAACTCAGGCTGGCCTTGAACTCACTATATAGCCCAAGCCGGCCTCAAACTCTCGGCAATCCTCCTGCCTCAGCCTCCGGAGCACTGGGACTACAGGTGTGCACCACCATGCCTGACAAAACAGTCCTAGTTTTTAAATTCCAAGTTCTCTTTCTAAGCAACCCCTTCAATCCCCAACAAACAAGCAGAAAGGAAGGGAATTTTCTCAAGCCTTCTAAAAACTAGTGGGAGTAAAGGAAGACAATATCAGAGTAAAATGTTTAGGACAGGCAGAGGTGTGGGGAAGCAGCAGGCTGAAGTAGCTTCTGCTTGGGTTTGTGGCTCTTGCATGAGGAATGCTGACAGTGCTCAGCCATATTCATTTGTTCCACTCAGATTCTTTAGTGGAGGATTTACTGTTTGTAAAATAATATGGCACTTGTTCCCATTTGAATCTATCTCTGATGAGTAGAAATCAAACAAAAAAATCACAGCATCTAATGAATATTCAACAAGCTGGTTCTTGACTACACCTCTCTGCCTTTTCCTTCCCCCTTCCTTCCTTCCTTTCTCCATTTTGTTCCAGATGCCATGATGAATAACAGGAACCGAGCACACATTTGAACAGCGCTGGTCTTGGGAAGAGGTAAATCCAAAGCCCCTGTTACACCTGAGGTCCAGGTTTTGAAAAAATTCAAAATGTTCAAGAGCTACAATGTTTTCTCACTCCCAACGGAAATACCTTTCTTTCAGCTCCAAGGGGAAGAGTTACTTTTCCAAACCTTTGGGTTGCCTACCTTGTCAATAAAAGTTGCCAGTGAGAGAGCTGGCATTGCATTTGAGCCACAACCTTTTCATGTATCGAACAAATGGTAACAGCTACATTAATGTAGTGCTTGCTGTGTGCCAGTTGTACTTCTAAGAGCATTGTAAATCATACTAATCACTCAGATCGCCACAAAAAATGCCATTTGCTATGTGAAGGAAACAAGGCACAAAGAAGTTAAGGGACATGCCCAGCGCTGCCACCTTGCATGAAGCCATCTGTACACCCATCACACGCATAAACACATGCTGATACTTCTCATGAATACACAGCCTGATAAATCCAACATAAGATGAAAATGTCCTCAGCTGAAGATGCACATAATACAAACCAACAGAACATCATAGCTGTGCAACACGGCACAAAATAGAGCGTTGGTTATTCAGCCTATGACGGTGTGGCTGCTGAGCATGGCACCAAGAGTATAAAACCTCACAGTGATAACCCAGGAAAAGAATCAAATGTAAAATTTAAAAGGATTTTTTTTTTTTTACTAAACGTGTATCATTTTCACACCACTATAAAGTGGAAAAATCATAAGTTGGACCATCTTAAGTCAGGACTGTCCATGTACATCTGTAATTATCTATCTATCTATCTATCTATTTTTCTACCTATCTATAGATGTGATATCTGATTCAGACCCAGGTGTTGGACATCAGAGCCTGTTCTCTCAGTCTCTGCTCGGTATATCTGTTCACTGATGCAGCTTTTTACCTTTGTCCTGAAAATAGATCACAGGCAATATCACAAAACAGAAAAGCTTGCATGAGGACTTCAGGCATGGCCGTTGGTAGCTTTTTCTTCTGGGAAAGACAGAATCATATCACTGTGGGATAGGAGACCTAAAATAACCCTGATAAAAGCTATGAGAACAGATAGCATGCAAACACTCTCTCTGCCTAATTTCAATCTCATTTTTCTCCCCAGGCTTTCCAGGATGGTAACTACTGTCACATAGGTCCTCACGGACAAGCTACCTTGGAGAACCCTGGGTCGGTCAGCAATCAAGTGGGCCAGGCGGGTGCACTGTTTCACTCCAAGTCGCTCTGGGCATGAAGGTGCAGGTGGACTGCTCCCACTGTCCTGGTGCTGAAGCTGGCCTCTTTCAGCCAGCACTGTGAGGTGAGGAAGCAACCTTCTCACAGAGGTGCAAAATCAATGACATTTATTCTAGGTTCATTGTCTTTCTCCATAAATCATCTGTGGGGGAAACACGGTGCTTGTTAGTGTGGTCCAGCCGCACCATCCCCAGAATTGTCTTCATAGTGTAGCTGGGGCGAAGGGTCTGGTTTAGTAAGCTGAGTGCCTCACACAGGAGCGCTGCACCCACACTGCCCTGTGCCCTCCTGCAAGCTTCTAGTTTAGTGGATGGTTTCACTGGAACAACCCATGAGGTGCTGTGGTTCTGCAGGCTGACAGTGGAGGGAGAGCTTTAGGAATTATGCATTGTTCCTTTTACTGTATCTTCTTGGTCTTCTTGCCCAGCTGATATGCTCTAACACATGTCCTGCACCAAACTCCATTGTTCCCCTTAAAACCATGTGATTTGAAGCCCCCTGGTGTGGGTGTGCCATACAAGAGTTTGTGGCAGACTAATAAACTGGGGCATTTTAAGACAAGTTCTAGTCTTTTCCCCATGAATAATCTCACAGAGGCTAAGATTCTAGAGTCTGGATTCTGAATTTCTGTTATCCCATTGTCAGCCAGTTTGATTGGAGATGTGGACATGGACAGCTAGAATCCATCCCTTCCTAAGATCCTAACCCCTGGGCCTCTTAGTATTGCATAACAAAGCTCCAGGACAAGGCTAGTACATTGTCACCAGTTGCTGGGAAAAGAAAAAACTTAGTATCCCACCCTGGTCACTGTCCCACAAACCCTACATTTTTAAGATCTCAGGATAGTCGGCTTGTGGGGTGCCTACCCAAATGCAGCTCATCAAACGATAAGGATGCCTGTATGCCACTGAGGTACAGAGAGTAGCGGTGATGGTGGTGTATGGAGGAGGCCAATCCCTAAGATTCCTGTGGCTCCTGGTTGGTGTGGAGGAGACACAAAATGTTCTACATGCTAGGGAGTACTAACCCCTTCTGCCTCAAGGCCTTTGCACATGCTCTTTCATCTGTTTCCAAGGCTCAACCTACATTATCTTCCCTTGGCTAATATTTGCTCATCATTCCTGACACCCTAGAGCATGGCAAGTGTCTCTGATAGATGATACTTCCCTAACATCCCGAATCTCTAGTTCATTTCACTCATCAGAATTGCCATTGAACAACTGGACATTTAAATTCATTTAATGTATTTTTTCTCTGCTAGAATAAAGACTCTGGAACTAGATCCAGCATGTTCACCATGAAATCCTCAGCATCTATGTATCTAATGAATGCTTGTCAATTAAACGAATTTCTGAACTCAGTAGTTTCCTTCTCAGTGATATTTTTAAAGATGCTCCTTATTGATAGAGCTTTTTTTAGAAAGAAGTACACATGAAAAGTAAGGGCCTCCTGGACATGTGAACATCCTAAATAAACATAGCTACAGCAGCCTCAGTCATGTCTGCCTCTCTGTGTACAGAGTGTGCTTTCAGTGTTCTTGGGTAAAAAAAGAAAAATAAAATATGACAAAGCCCCCCCCAAGTACTCTTCTTTAGAAGCCACAACAATGCACATACATAATGATGCTAATAAAATCTGAATAAAAATCAGTAAGGGACACTTCATATGCATTAGAATGACTACTATCCAGAGAAACAAACAAACTGAGAAACAAAGTAAGTGTTGATGAGGACGTGCACTTGGTAGGATCTATGTGAGGTTTCTACATGGCAATGGGTTGACACATCTTGTGTCCCTTTAATCTCTTATTTCGCTCTTATTTTTCCCTCAAATTCTTTTTATTGGTACATTTTAGGTGTACAGTACATTTATATTTATCATTGGGAACTTGTACCTTTACAAGATGTATCTTGGTTCTTATTTTTTCTCCAGTCCCCTGCCCTCCCTTTGACTCCTTCACCCCTCCCTATTTACAAAGGCTTTGTCTCCATTTTTTCTTTTCTCATATTTTTTTCCTTTCCCCTACCCCTCCCTCTTCCCCTACCTCTTGAGACCTTTTCTTCCTATTTCACATTATCAATTATTCATTTTAATCCTTATTTACACTTGCATTTTCTTATTTTGTTCTTGTAGTTTCTTTGTTAAGGAAACCACTGATTTGTTCTGTACAGTTTTTCATAGTCTGGGTTTTGATGATTCTCTTAGCATTATGTAGCTTGCTGTTCTGTTTCCTGTATTTCTTCAGTCAATGAAAAGATTTTACCAGATGACCTGCCCTATGCTGGACGGTCCCCACTGCCCCTCAGCAGTGTGTCGCGAAGTAAATTAAGTATGTGAAGTTTAACCTTCCTCCAGTAGCGGCCTCCCTTCCTCACCATCATTATTATAGACTTGAAAGTGTACTGAGTTCCTTCCCTCTTTTGTGCTAGACATTGTGCTAAACTGACATGCACCGGCTCCCTGAGCTCTTCACAGTAGTATTGTGAAAGAACATAGTTTAAACTTTGGCATTTGTTTTAGCAGCTCAGCAACTGTTTCCATACCCTTTCCTCTGTTTGAGGAACTGCTCATCTTGAGTCTTTCTTTATAGGAGGCAGAATTTGTTCATCCCGTTAGATACCTCGTTTCCACCCAGAGCAGACATAAGGGCAAATGAAAGCAGAGTCCTTTTAACTGAGCCATGGAGTCAGCTCACCCACCACCAACCCTGCCTCAGGATATATGAAATTTTAAGGTCTTCATATCATTAAAATCACTTGCAATCAGAAACATTTTAACTGATAGAATGGAAAGATACTTATGAAGTAACAGAGTAAAAGGAACAGCATGGGACATCACATATAGTGCAATGTGATTACAACTGCATAAAAATAAAAACAGCTGCACAGAAATAATTAGAAAAAAGTAAATGTTAACAGTGGTGTGGATAAATGGTGGGGAAATGAATTAAATTTTATCATTATAATCTGTATTTAATATTTTCCAGATTATGAATAATATTTTTGAAAATAAACACATACACAAACCCTACCACCATCTCATACTTGTAAACACACTATGTCATGGGGTTCAGGTATGGTCAGGAATAAAGGCTTTCAACTGAGCAAGTGCATCCCAGAGGCCCATTCTCATGCATAACTTGATCCAGTTTCATTTCAGAATCTGTCTAGAGTACTTTGCTGAAACCCAGATGTATTATAATGTCTTTAGATCCCTTGCCACTGTAGCTCTCAGTAACTATCTTTTCTTTTTTTTTTTTTTTTTTGTACCAGCGCTCGAACTCCAGATCTTGTACTTGTTAGGCAGGTGGTGAAACCACTGAGCTAAATCCCTGGCTCAATAACTATCTTGAAAGCAGCTGTCACAGAAGAACCAGTCAACAGGCTCCATGTACTGACCTGGGGGAGCAGTCTGAAGTCTGCAGGGCTCTGAAGATGCCCAGGAGGCAGAGTCCCTCTGCCATGCACACATTTGCACTCACAGATTACACCTCAATTATAACCCTACCAGGGGCTGCCACTTTTTTTTTTTTTTTTTTTTTTTTTTTTTGGTACCAGCGCTCGAACTCCAGATCTTGTACTTGTTAGGCAGGTGGTGAAACCACTGAGCTAAATCCCTGGCTCAATAACTATCTTGAAAGCAGCTGTCACAGAAGAACCAGTCAACAGGCTCCATGTACTGACCTGGGGGAGCAGTCTGAAGTCTGCAGGGCTCTGAAGATGCCCAGGAGGCAGAGTCCCTCTGCCATGCACACATTTGCACTCACAGATTACACCTCAATTATAACCCTACCAGGGGCTGCCACTCTTAAGAATACTTCTTCTCCCTGTTGTAAGACATGAGAGCTGTTCCCATCCAGAACACCAGCCCTACAGCTTTCCATGGACAGGTGGAAAGGTGATGATTTAAGGGGCATAATATAAATTTTGTCATAAAGGCAAGAAACTTGAGTATCTAAAACCCACATTTATTGTTTAGACTTTCTACTGGTAAAGCATTAATTTTAAATTTGTGAGTTTTATTATATTAAACAATGGGTACTTAATAGAAAAAAATTAAAAATAACCTATTGAAACTTTAATGTTTATTGAGTGTTCATAAAAAAAGCATCAAAATTTTAAGCATCAACTGTTTTTTGGTGTGCAAAATCTAAAAAATAACAATAGAAAAAAATTCTTATGTGAACCACAATGAAATTACCAGTAGAACTCTATAGCAAAAGTAAACTATACTTTAATTGTCACATCCAAGGCATTCTTTACATATGACAACAGCACATTCCACACACACATTTTACTTACACTGACAGCTTTGTGTGTTGCTTTTGCTTTCCTGGCCTTTTTGTAGGACACATTTGACATCTTACTGGTCTTACTATTTTATCAGGAGGTTCTTATTATATTACACAATGTATAGTTAACAGGAACATAAAATATCAATAAAGTATAAAATTATTAACATGTATTGTGTATTTAGACTAAACATCAACATTTTCACATAAGCTGTGCACTTGCTTACAAATCCTAAAAGATAACATCAGAAATAAATTCCTATATGAACTACAATGAAAATGCCAATAGAACTGTACAACAAAAACAATCTTTGCTTCAACTGTCATATCCAAGGCAGTCCTCACACATGACAACTGCATGCTTCATACTCATATCTCATTTACATTGACAATACATATGCTTAGCCTTCCTTTTCTATGTGGCAGGCGATTCTTATCACTTCTCTTCCTGTTTTCCTACTATATTGTACAATGGGCACTTAGCAGGAAAATAAAATATCAATTAAATATCAAATATGTAATGAGTACTTAGAATAAGACATCACCTTTTTCACATCAGCTGTATACTTGCTTATAAAACCTAAAAGATAACATCAGAAATAAAAACCTATGTGAACTACAATGTAAATACAAACCAAAGTCTACCACAGGAAATAATCTTTGCTTTAGCTGTTACACCCAAGGAAGTCTTCACACATGAAAACTGCATGTTTCATACGCAAATATAATTTACACTGATAGCTCATATGTTTTGTTTTCCTGTCCTTTCTTGTAGGGAACGGTTGATACCTTTTTGGTTTATCTGTTGTAATAGTAGCTCTTTGTGATGCTGTGCCTGCCTGTTCATCTTTCAGCTCACCAGTGTGTGCTACATTTTTTTTTTTGCATAGTTCCCCAGGCAGAAGCATTTTGTTTTTCCTCTGCTATAAATGATCTCTTATGAGTTCCAGTCCCAGGCTTTGAAGAAAATTTCTCCATGATATTTTACACTTTTTATTTTCTTTGTAAACTATCAAACTATTTATACCATACATGTTTGAGACTGCGTAAAACATAGCCACTAGCCAACGCTTTGTGCTTCAAGTGACACTCAGTTGCTGCAGCACTCAACAACATGTACTACACCTTTGGTTTTGTTGTAGAAAGTTTCCACCTTAGCCATTTTGTCAAGGTTTTCCAACCAATATTTCCACCAAGGTGCAATGTTGACATCAGCAGTATCAGTTTGTTTTTCTTTGCCGTATACAAGACCAGTGTAAAGCTTTCTGAAATCCAGAGATTGTACTATACAATTCTCTGTTTTGAAATTGTAATATTTCATTCGGAATTTCTGCTTTGTTCCTGTATACAGTTCCTATGCTGGTCAACTTTTGCTGTTAGCAAATGTAACATTGATTGGAAACTGGTAAACCAATTGTTGAATGTCACATCCAGATTAGTTTGGAAGATGGGAACAACAAGTTTGTTCACAACATTAAATGATGTTTATTACTATATAAAGAAAGACGTGCTATCTTAGTTCCAGGATAAATTTCTAAATTGAAAGCATAATAAGTCTTTACATCCACTGAGCTACATCCCTTGTCTCTAGTCTTTGCATCTACAAGGGCATAAATTTTTATGCCATATTTTGACTCATCACTTTTCCATAAGTCTTTTACATTCCTGCGATTGCCATGAGAAATCCTTACTAAGTATAGTAAACCTATTAATGCTCTCAGTTCAGCTAGTGATGTTTTATAATATGGACATTTTTAAATGTGGGCTATCAGTTTATGCAGAAAGTTTTACTTGTATTTCAGCCTTTGTGTACTTCACAATGTCTTATAGCATTTCATCTGTTACAATTTCCAACACTGAATGGCAGAGTTGGCATCTTTCTGTCCAATATGTTCAACCCTGCCAAGATCCTCAATATAGTTTCAGACCTAGTTTTAACATTGGATAGTTCCATTTGGATGTATGACCATTTAGCAGCATTAGTCAAATATGCACTCACATTGCTGTTCGCTTCATCTGAATCAAGGAGGTCTGCATTCCCTGTGTCTGTATCAGTCAGTTCTTGCTCCATTTCACTTTCACAGGAACCTGCATGGCTAACATTAAAGTCATTATCATCTTCATTATCCATGCATGCTAATCTGATGATTCCCTGTGATGTCCTCCAAAACTTGCAAATCTGGTTTTTCATGTGCCATTGTACTGAATTGGGTTACTCCTACCAGAAAAAAAAAAAACTTTAAAATTCTATATGCAATAGAAATTTAGCATTGAGCATTCATGGGTAAAACTTACCTGTTGCTGCTTTGAAGCTCCTGTACACACCTTGCTATTTGTCTGCCAGATGGGTGAATGCATAGATGTTTTTTCTTTCCCCAGGTGCAGCTACTGTGAGTCACATTCACATTCCACTACAATAAAATATATGTTATCATAACAGAAGAGTGGTGTGGGTGTATTTTACCCACTGTGATGCTCAAGTATATATGTGTGTGTGTGTGTGTGTGTATGCAAAATTATTGGCTCATTGCGATATTAAAAAAATTCCCAGTTTGATAATTTTGCACACATGCACAAACCGTTCCATTCATCATACCAAGTGGTTAAACACAAAGATTTCTTCCTGGGCCAGGGATTTAGCTCAGAGGTTCTGCTCCCTGCTTCAAAAGAGCAAGGTCCTGAGTTAAATCCCTGTAACAAAATAAATAAATAAATAAATAAACAAAGCAAAGATTGCTTCCTGTATCCCCCAGGCACTGAGACATACATCTGGCTACTATTATGCTAAAGTACAAATTTTTAGTAGAAAAGTATGGGATGGGTTGCTGTAATCCAATGTGATGCCCCTTTTCCCTAGTACACAGTCACTCTGGTAAATGGTCACAGATTCTTTTGATGAAGTCAAGGAGGGAAATTTGTAGTGCAAAGTTTTGCCTAGTAGCAAGGCCTTCCATGTAAGGACTTGGCTTCTATTTCATTCAGTGCCTGGGTCAGGGCCAGGTCTAGGGTGAGTCCAGAGAGGAACTCATGGCAAAACCTAAGGAGGCACTTACTATCGGGATGATAGAATTGCCAGCCTGGCATAAGCCTGACTCGAGAGTCCTTTGGTCCTACCCTTAGGCTGCCCCTGCCTCCTTCTTGTGAAGGTCCCAGGCTGGACTGCAAAGTGACCAGAGTCCGAGGGGTGGTAGAGAGGCATGTAGAAGGCAGTGACTCACTTCAGACTCTCTTCATCAGATTCAAAGCTTCCCTGTTCATGCAAGTGAGGTGTAAATGGCCTAGTACTTAGGCAACAAGATCAACAGCAAAGACACTAAGGTCAGACCATTGCAGTTACTGCTGCTCATCACCACATGTCCTTGGCTGTGACTCAGTGCTTTAGCTTGCCCCCTCATACCCCGGAATCCCATAATCTGAAGGAATCAGGTGAAATAGTTCAATGACAGCAGTTTCCACTCTCTTCTACCATGAAGGTAGTATCACCACAGTGTTTGCTGTGTGTGATGACCAAGATCCAAGAAAGAACCAGGTAGAACGGCCACAATGTGGGGAAACCAGAAAGGACAGAGTACATTCTGAATAACTGGAAAATAACTGGCCTGCTTGGTGGCCATACCCACTTATGCAACATGCCAGGTTTGCAGCTCAGTGGTCTAGCATACAGACGCATGACACAAATAGCCAGTCTCATTTACAACATGGCTGTATCTGGCTGGTGGCCTTGCCCTGTGAGTGCCACTCTGCTTTGCAGAAGCCTGACTGTCCAGTGCAGGCCGTGCCTGTCTGCTGGTTAGGGAACACCAAATGCCAGCAATGGCAACTTGGGCTCCTTCAATTTATTTTTCAACACTTTTCAGAACCATGTTTATAGCAAGGACTATGGAAATCGACACTTTGGCTCTCAGTCCCTTCAGATGTATCAAACACTCTGAAATTATCCTTCCCACATTACAAGGCTAACCTCATTCTCCTCCCAGAAGAAGGTCTGAGTTATTCCAGTGGTCTCTGGATTACAGTGTCTGAGCATTTGTAGAAGGCTATACATATATAAATTACTTTTAAGCTATTCATGGACTAGAAGCCTAGTGTCCTTTTCAGAAGTCTAAAAACTTTGCTAATCTACCTCATAGCCTCCTACTATAATTAAAAAAGAACTTCTAATCAATGTTTTTCTTGCTTTATTTTAAACATGTTTTGTTAAATTGCAAATTGTGTCCACATCTTGCCTGCCTGCTAGGTCTTGCAAATAAGAATTAGTTTAATTTTACAAATACATTATTTTAAGTTGGAGAGAAAAATTAATCTTCCTTTCTTCTTATCTCTTTAATAGAAGCTATTTTTCTTCTTGTTCCTCTAAATAAACTTCTTTTGAAGCTCTCAGAGTTGCTCTCATAATGCCCTAAATTTGGGATTTGAGAAGTTTTAAACTGGTAGGTGACTTTTACAAAACATGTTCCTTTCTAGTTCATTATGGTTTTCATTGTGGAACCAGATGCTTCTAATCCTACTTGGGGAAATGTGTCTATTATGTGTTGGGCTCTATGCTTAATGCTTTACAGGCATTATTTCATTTGATCCACACAGCAAAGCTACTGAGGTTGGCACTTTAAAAATAAAAGCTATACATCCTTCAGTCACTTTTGACAAAAGCGTGCTGAGGAGAGAGCAGTTTCATTCATTCCTCCAGGAAGTTCCCTCAACACTTTCCAGACAATCCCCACTCCACCCCTAATCCTGTTCCTGTCCAAACAGGGTAGTTCTGCCTATGTTAAAGGACCACGTAGGATACATGTTTGTGTGTGTTTGGCTTTATTCACTTACAGTATTTTTTGTATTCATCTGTGCAATTGTTCACATGAATTACAGAGTAGCGGGCTCCTGAGTGAGCCCTGCCACAAAATCTGAAGAAAACAAGAGGAGGAAGGCACAAGGCTGGTATTGCACGAGGCTCAGATGTAAACAGCTTGGTGAATTTATTTCTAAGGGCTTTTAATCCATTCCCTTCCACTCCTACTTACTGTAGAGTCCTTTTCTGTCATAGAGACATAAGACACATCACAGTTTTCCCATCACCTTGATGCTTGGGTATTGTCTCAGCTTAGGAACAACAAAAAAGCTAGTGTAAATATTTGTATACCTGTCTTTGTTGTGCATATGTGTTTTCACCTCTTCTCTCTTGGGTAAATAAATATACATAGAAATAGAACAGCTGAGTTATATGGTAGATGTTTGTAAACTTTATAAAAAATGACCTAACGACCAACATGTTCATAAAATTTTACATCTCTATTGGAAATATACGAATGTTCTTTGTTATTCTGCATCATTGCCAAGACTTGACATTGTCAGTTTTTTTAAAAGTTCCCCATTAAGAGATTATCTTATTGTGTTTTTAATTTGAATTTCCTGATGACAAATGATCTTGAACCTCTTCCATATGCTAATTGGCCACTTGTATGTCTTCTTTTGAGAAGTGTCTATGCAATTTCTTTCCCGTTTTTTATTGGATTATTTGTTTTCTGGTTACTGAGTTATAATAGTTATTTATACATTCTGGATACAAACCCTTTGTCAGGGACATAGCGATGTTGGTTTTGGCACTCACTAGCTATAGTAGAATTTAAACAGAGCAAAGTAGACACCCCGGAAAATTGTTGAAGTCTTAATGAATTAAATATCCACAGACCTAAGATTGCATCCTGCAGTAGCTAGAGTGGAAGAGAGAGTTGGATGCTGTCCTCAGAGCTATTCCTGGAGTTCAGGAGATGGGAGGCCCCACCTCTGCTGGAAAGGAGTACTTGGCTCCTGCCCCGCCATATGGAATTTCAGTTGGCAGCATTGTGATGCAAATATGTTCCAGTTAAATCTAGTACAGAGAGAGCTGGAGCAGAGGTCCCAGAAGTGAGTGTGCCTGAAGTCTAGTGTTCATAGGCCATAGGCTGTTCCATCCATAGCCACAGAGACAGCAGGGAGAGACCATCAAGGGAACCAAGAGCACGCAGTACAGCCTGCGTGTGCACTTGCATCCATCAGCACAAAGACTATAAGAATAAAATAATATAATATAATAGTAAAACTGGAGGAGAAATAATGTTAAAGCTGCGGACACACCCAATTCCTCTACTGTAGGAGCATAGAAGACAGACATTTTTCAGGATAATTTTGACTATGCAGTTTGTTTCCTCATGATTTCAAATGTCAAGGACTTCTGCACAAGAGGGAGGCCTCCTGTTTGCTTGTTTGTTTGTTTTATTGTTTTTTATTTCTTCTTCCTTCACCGAGTCTGTGGTCCAAAGGCTGGTGAAGGGAATGGAAGAAGATGGATGGCAGGGACCCTGATCAGGGCAACAGACAGGAATCTTCAGGAAGGGGCGTCCTCCATTTTATGTACAGCTTAGAAATGTGGCTTTCCAGGGATTTTATTAGCTATTATACATTTAATTAAATGACCATCTGACCTAAATACCTAAATGCAATTTAAAATTACAGTACTTCGCAGACAGCACACTTTTAGCTTCACTGCTGTCACACAAGGTGTGATCTCTCTGGTGTTTTCTGGGTTTCTGCTTCTGACGGCATGGATGACATCACCCCTGTGCTGAGGGGACACGCTGTATGGCGAGGTGCTGGCCATGTGAGATAAGGCCAGAACCACAGGCAGTACAAGAATCTCTCAATACTCAGGGAATACAGGAAAGGGAAGAGTTTACTGAGATGAGTCCAGGAAGGACCACACTCTCCAGGTGAAAGGCTGAGATTTTTACAAGGATTATAGCTCAGTGGTTCCACCACCTGCCTCACAAGTGCAGGGACCAGAGTTCGATCCCCAGTACCAAACACACACACACACACACACACACACACACACACACACACACTCACACAAAGATCAACCATCAGGAAGCTCACTTTTGGCCAGCTTATACTCTGTTTATCTCATGGGGGCACTTGTACTGTGTTAATAATTACATATTAAAGGAGCCAATTTGACCTGATCTACTACTTTGGCTCTCACAGAAGGCCCTTAGGCTCACGATATATGAATCAACTTTGAGAAAAGGGTCACAGCTATGCAGAAGAAATGTACATGTTATACATCAGAGGCATGCTTATTATTTACTTTTATGCCTAATTTAGCCTGTGTAGAATGGTGTGGTCACTTAGTATGTGCCAGTTCAGAGAAGCCTCATGGGGCAAGAGGCTGGGTGTACCATCACTATAGATTAATTATTTTCTGCCTGTCAGCCTCCACAGTACTGTGTTCATTTCTGCTTGGTATAGCAGGGAAGTGTGGATCACTATCCTTCCTCTTCAGGCCTTGAGATAGGAGAGTAGGGCATGGCAAAGCTGGCTGGGGAAGTAGGCGTGCCCTGTTGATTATAAGGTCCTGGACACATACACAGAGCAGTTCCCAAAGGACTTCTTGTGAGAACTGGAGCAGCTTTGCAATAGACCTGGCCTACACCTGACCTCAGCCTGAAACTTGGGATCTCAAAACTGCCTCTTGGGACTTGGATGTAGAAGTTCTCAAGCATTTCCTCAAGATTTGGACAATAAAAGCGACACACCAATGCTGTGAAAAGCTTGCTATTGTAACTTTCCACAATAGTCCACGCTGTTTCCAGACACAGCATATACTTTTATTTTGCTCTTATCCTCTTTTTCTCTTTATCTGGCCCAACCTCCCTCTGCAGAGCCAGTTTCTCCCCCATGTTTCACTTTTACTTTCTCGAATAAATTTTATCACTGTTTTTTTTTCTTTTTTCTCATTACATCCAATTCTCTGCTTGAGATGAGGAGAACCTGGAACCTAACTCCAGAGGGAGAGGCAAACAACCCAGACCCAGCAATGCTTAGTTGCAAAGCCACTCTTAGAAGCAGGCTATCGGATAATAGCCCCACACACCTGAAGGCACAGCTAAATGCCAGGGGACTCTGAGCTTCCCGAAGACCTTTCTGCCATCAAGATTTTCACACAAGTATGCACACTTCAAGATGGCACTTTCATATACCCTCCCTTCCCCCATATTGTGAAATGTCCTACTTCGTGCTGTCCTCCTGGCACTGTCCTAGGAGGCAGGCAACACTATTTGCCACCCTGTAGGCCAGGGTGCTGGCCACTGTCCATCTGCCTGTGGCTTTCAATGATTGATCCTCAGGTCCTCTTTCTTATCACCAAAGGGGCTCTTGCTAGTTATTTATTTATTTGTAGTAGGGCCTTGAAACCAGGGGCTTCACGCTGATCTATGTCCTTAGTTCTTTTTTACTTTATTTAATTTTTAAATTTTGAGACAGGGTGTCAATAAGTTGCTGAATTGCCCAGCTTGGGCTCAAACTTGTGATCTTCATGCCTCAGCCTCCCAGAGGGCTGGGATTAAAATATGCACCCCCTCCCCCACTGGCTTAGAACTCTAGAGTTTTTGACACAGTGATGACACAGTTGTGACATAATAAGAGATGACCATAGGGATGGAGAACAGGCAGAATCCTGGCCCCTTACTAACTACTTGTTAAAAGCATGATTTGTTAAAAGTCATTTTTCTGTGAACTGTGACTCTTCACTTGGGCTCAAAGATGCCCAATATTGGCAGCTAAAAGCTGAACAAAGTTTGACCATTTTGTGTATCCTTTGTTTTCTTAAAACTTTGTTTTAAATTCTTTCTCAGCTCTGCTTATCGGTATGTTAATCATTTAGGGAGAGTCCATCTAAAAATTGGTAAGAACAAAATTGATTCACACTAAACTTACCTCATCTCATCCCCTTCAAGACTGAAGACATCAGAAGGGCGGTTTTCCGGGGATATTCGACTCACTATGCCCAGAAATCTCCAGCCATTGTCCTGAACCTGTGATCACCTGGATTCCAGGAAAAGTGGAGCCCCTTGGGACGGAGAACACCACAGACAGATAGTCCACCCTTTGGCTAAGAGGATTCCAGAATTATGACACCAGGATTGAAGCAATGATATACTGGATCCCAACTCACAAATAAATTCTTAAAAGCTGGCTTCCTGCCTTTGTAGGTGGGGCAGTCTGGAACTTCATATTGGAGTGTGACCCCTCCAGCTACCTACACTGGAATTTTTTCCTATATTCTCTAACTTTCCAGTTAAAGTATTTTCCCTTGTAAATTTGTGCTTTTGTTTTAATTTCCATTATTATTAAAAGCAAGGACTCAAGCTAGCGAGCAACAGTGACACAGCTCCTGGTCTGACTGTATTTTAGGGGCCAGGATAAAGAGGAATTTGGAATGTAACTTCAAAGTCTTGATTTTCAGTGCCTGTCCCTATTTTCACAATAAATTCCTGATCAAGTTTTAGGCAGGGGGTTTTGTTGTATTTTTTTAGAGGAATCACTTAAAGCATTTTCACTGTCCATTAGCGTGGACCTGTCTGTATGCTACGCTCACCATCCCTTCTCTGATTTCCTCTCTCCTGTCACAGACTCTGCTGACAGCTCAGCTCTTGGTCTTCTCTTGCATGACCTTGGCAGGTCCCGGGTACCCCATGAATCTCAAGTTTCCTCACTCATGAAGATGCCTTTCTGCTGAGTCAGCCAAGGCTTTGCTGGGGGGCAGTCATTTCTCTACAATACTGAGAGAAACCAAGTGCCCCAGAGTGTAAAATGGGGAGCTTGAAGCATAAACCCTGGGGAGCTCAGGCCCCTCCCTGGCTCTGTGACCCTCCTGTGGAGTCAAATACCTGGTGTTGAGGCAACCCACTTTCTGGTCCACATTCTGTCTCTCAGACAGAACCTTTCTTTTCCCTTGATAAAATTTTCCTACTCTTAAAAACAAACAAACAAAAAGCAAAGAACACCTGGTGTTCCTAGCCTGCCCTTTTCCCTGACCTCCCAAAAAGCTTGAGATTCTACAACACATGCTACAGAAGCCTCCAGAGGCATCCGGGGCAGCCAGCCTGCCATATGACTGCTGCCTGTCCCCTGCTGACCACCCTCTTGCTCAGGTTCAGCTGGACCATCTCTTTCCTGAGATGCTTTCCTTTATGCCATGCCGGGGACAAGCAGCCCTTCTGTGACCACCCCTACCGCTACAGTTGAGTGGGCCAACACAGTCCAGGATCTTGTGTACAACAAGGCAAGAGCTGTCCAGTATACACTTTGTAGTATGTAGTAAGTTTCCTGAAAATCGAGGAGCAGAAGCAGGAATGGACAGAAGCATGAAGCAGGCAAAGAAAGAGGCCTTTGTAATTCAGGCTTCCAGTATTTATCAGGTCAGACATCCACTGGTCCTATAAGCCTCCCACTGTCTCTCTTTCCAGATGTCAGCAATCAGCCCACCCTCCTAAATTTAAACTTGAATAATCATCAGGGCAGTGCTGTGTTTAGGTGGAAGGGAAGGGAGTGGCTCACTCGACTTCTTTGTTTCTAACTGTATTATCGCTGCACATAACAATACTGTCCTAGTCTCTTTACTCATCTGCAACCCTCATTCAAGCACACACCCATGTTTCCAATTGCACCCCCATACTTCACACAGCGTGTCACACAGTTGGTAATCAGTAATAGCTAGAATCCATGAAGGAATGCAAGGGTAGGAAAGACGAATGGGAAGGGTCAGGGTCTGGGTAGGAGAATCCAGATTGCATCATCCATGGAACTTAGACCTGGGAGCCACAAGAAAGTTTTCCTGGGCCACAAAGGCAGGGTGAGTGGAGACCCATTGCCCAAGCTGTGTTGTGGGAGGAAAATCGCCAGTGGGAAATCCTGATATCACACACACACGTGGGAGGCCATGGGCCCTGCTGCCACCCAAAAACAAGATCTTTGTATAGTGAACCAAGCATCCTC